GGGGATGAACACGGCACCTCCTCTCCCGTTTGGGGGGGGGTATGAACACGGCACCTCCCCTCCCGTTTTGGGGGGGGGATGAACACAGCACCTCCTCTCCCGTTTGGGGGGGGGGGGGATGCACACGGCACCTCCTCCCGTTTTTTTTTTGGGGGGGGGGATGAACACGGCACCTCCTCTTCCGTTTGGGGGCAGTATGAACACAGCACCCCCCCTCCGTTCCGGGGGGCAGCCCCCGCCGCCGGGCCGTTCCGCCAGCGCTGCCCACCCAGCCCCGGGCCATCCCTCCGAGGCCGGGCAGCGCCCGGGGCCAGCCCGCCGGACCGGACGGCTCCGGAGCAGCCGCAGAGGCCCGCCGCACACTCCGTGCGCCCCAGCGCCCCGCCCGCCGCGGCGGCGGCTCCAGGCTCCGGGCCCGGCCCCGCTCGCCGCCGCCTCCCCTGCGGAGCCCCGGGGGTCTCCCCCCGCGCCGCCGGGCTGCCGGCCCGCCTTCTGCCCCGGCCACGCCGAGCGGCGCGGAGGCGGCGGGCAGAGGCGAAGCCCCTCCGGCAGCCGCCGCCGCCTCGTCCCTCGCGCGCTCCCAGACCTTCCCCTCGGGCCTCCCCGCGCTTTCCCCGGCGCTTCCCGCCGCGGCGGGCAGCCGCCCACACGCACTCACCGGCCCCGGCCCCGGCCCCGGCCCCCGCCGCTCCCCCCGCGCCGGGCCGGCCTCCCCCGGAGCGGCCGGGGCGCCCCCCCCGCCCCCCCCCGGCCCGGGGTCGGGGCTGCTGCGGCACCGAAGGGAAGAGCTGGGAGCCGGGCGGGGTTCGTGCTGTGAATCAGTGCACAGGCACCTCCTTGGGGCAGGGGGAGCACTGCGAGTACTGGATGATTTTGTGCCGCTGTCAGAGCGAAAGGAGAATTTTCCTGTTGCGGGGCTGAAGTGGCATCTGCTGTGCGGTTGCCTGTGGCTTCCACGGCAGCAGAGAGACTCCTGAGAGCTCTTTCCAGTCCCTTTACCCTGAGTGTGGGCATTAACGTTTTGACTAACCGTCTCCAATCACGGGGGGGGGGTTCCTCAGACAGTGGGGTGACGAGGTGGAGGGTCAGATCTACGCGTGGGGCAGGGGCTGCGTTACCCCCCCCGCCTCCCGCTGCAGGAATGCCCGCTGGCAGGGGCGCTGTGAAACAATCCTCAACCCTTTTGTCGTGGTTTGGGCCTGGTTGGCAGCCAACCCCAACGCAGCAGCTCTCTCTCCCTTCCCCTCCGGCAATGAGAAGGGACAGAGAGCCAGGCTTGGGGTTCGAGATAGGACTGGGGTGGGGAGAAATTCCCCTTTATGATCACGAGCAAAAGGCAGACTCGTTAGGGGAAGAAAAAAAAGAACATACATTTATTACAGACACTAACAACACCTAACAGAGTAGGACACTGAGAAGCACTGCCACATCTTGAGAACACCTTCCCCCCACCCCTCCCTTCTTCCCGGGCTCAGCTCTGCTCCCGATATCTCTACCTCCTCCCCCAGTGGCGCAGGGGCAGGGAATGGGGGGTGCAGTCAGCGCTGCCACTTCCCTTCTCTTTGGTGAGAGGAGTTTCTGGAACTTGTTCCTCCTGCTCCATCGTGGTCCCCCTCTCACAGGAGACAGTCCTCCACAAACTTTCTCCGACTTGAATTCCTCCCATGGGCCGCAGCGTTCCCCACACTGGCTCTGTCATGGGTCACTAACTTCCTCCGACTGGATTCTCTCCCATGGCTGCAGCCCTTCCCGAGCTGCTCCGGCGTGGGACTCCCCCGCGTGCTGCAATCCTCCCAGTGCTGAATTACAGCAGCGGGGCTGCCTTTTCACAGAGGTGGAGCTGATGGGCTCAATTTCCCAAACAGAAGTGGAGCTGACGTGGAGCTGGGGGAGCTTCGAGAAGCTTCTCAAAGGGGGTCGCCCCGATAGCCCCCTCCCCTGCCACCAAAAAACTCCACCACTCACTCAATCCAGGACACCTTTAATGACTGAAGAAGGAAAGAGAGAGATGGGAAAGGGCTGGGGCTGGGGCTGGAGGGGGTGGGTGTGGGTCGCATGTCCCAGGGGTTGTGCCCCACAGCTTCTGTGCCCAGCTGTCAGAAGCGGCCGGGGGGGTGTGGGGCACTCTGCCCCCTGGGGTCCCTCAGGGCTCTGGCTCGCTTGGTGGGCACGCTGCTGCCGTCGGATGCTCTGCGCTTGCTGCTGCCCACCGCTGCGCTGTCCCTGTGCGGCAAGTGGGTCCAACCCCCCCGGGGCTGCCTCCGCAGCGCCTCCCCCACCAGTGGGGCCCTGAGGGGCGGATGACACTGGGGGGCAGCCGGGGGGCTGGCCGGGGGGCTCAGCAGCGGGATGCGCAGGGGGCTCAGCAGGGCACTCTCCAGAAGACCCTGCGGGGGATCCTTCCAGGGACTCTCCGCAGGACGGGCCTCTGAAGTCTCCTCGGAAGTCTCCAGGGAGCTCTCCTCCTCAGCAGCCTCCGAGGGGCTCGGGGGCAGCCGGGTGGGGAGGTCTGCTGCCACCCCACCCTGCTGCCCCTTGGGGTCCTGCGAGGGGGAGGTCGCCACCCCCCAGAAGGGGTCAGCGTCCCCCAGCATGGCCGCTGCCAGGCCGACCTTGGGGCCGTTGTCCTGCACCCCATCCTCCAAGAAGTCGGGGACTTCGCCGACGGAGGCGGTGCTGGCGAGGCCGTGGGGGACATCGGGGAAGGTGTTCTCGCCGGCCACCATCTCCACTGTCGCCGCCTGCTCCTTGCAGCCGCCCTCTGCCCTGTGCTCCGAGAGGTGGGGGAGCTCGTTGAGGGAGGTGGTCAGGTTGGGGACACTGGGGACAGTGTCCTCACCATCCCCCAGCCCCGCCACCACCGCTCGCTCCTTGGGGCAGCTGCCCCCTCCCACATACTCGGAGAGGTGGGGAAGCTCATCAGGGACCTCAGCAGTCAAGCGGGGGACATCGGTGGTCAAGCGGTTGTCCGTGCTGTCCCCTGGCTGTGCCACCACCGCTTGGTCCCGGGGGCCGTCGCCATCCACCATGTACATGGAGAGGTCCGGGAGCTCATTGAGGAAGGCGGAGCTGGCCAGGCTGTAGGGGAAATCAAGGACATCGGGGACGGTGTCCTCGCTGTCCCTCAGCCCCGCCACCACCCGTTGCTCCTTGGGGCAGCCGCCTGCCCCCACGTACTCGGAGAGGTCGGGGAGCTCACTGAGGAAGGCAGCCAAGCCAGGGTCATCGGGGCCGGTGTCCTCGCTGCCCCCCAGCCCCGCCACCGCTGTCTGCTCCTTGGGGCAGCTGCCCTCTGCCACATGGTCCGAGAGGTCGGGCAGCTCTCGGAGGAAGGCGGCCAAGCTGGGGCTGTCGGGGCCATCGGGGACAGTGTCCTCACTGTCCTCGGTGTGGAGCCAGGCGGTGGTGTCCTCTGCCTGCTCAGGAACGGCCTCAGCGAAGGCGGCTGGCCCCTGCTCGGGCAGGTCTGTGTGCTTCCCGGGGGGTGCTGGAGTGGTCACCACTGCTGAAAAAGCAAGCAAAGAAAACCAGCCCCTGGTGATGCAAGCTCTCCTCGGCTTGGCCGCCCACCTGCGGCTCTGCCACCCCCTAAAACTCACCCTTGGGCTGTGTGGTGGTTCCGCTGGTCGGCAGAGCAAGGGCGGGGGGGTGGGGGGTGACAGCAGGGACGCTGTCCTCAGTGGCCACCACGTCCTTGTTGGAGGCTTCTGCCGACTTCTGGGCGCTGCCGGGGAGGGTGTGGGGCACAGGGGGGCCCTGCACCCAATGCTGAGTTGTGGGGTGGCGGGGTGGCGGGGGGCCGAGTCGGGAAGGGATGTTCCGCAGGCAGCAGCCTGTGGGGTACAGGGGCCCCCCCTGGAGCACAGCCCCTGGCCCCAGCCCCATCGGCTGGTGGGGCACCAGCGTCCCCAGCACCAGCCGCTGTCCCCATCTGTAGGCAGGGGGACAGGGAGCAGCCACGGGGGAGAACTGCACCCCAGGGGGGAGCTGCACCCCAGGGGGGAGCTGTACAACCGTGGGGAGCTGCACCCCAGGGGGGAGCTGCACCCCAGGGGGGAGCTGCACCACGGGGGGGAGCTGCACCCCAGGTGGGAGCTGCACCCCAGGGGGGAGCTGCACCACGGGGGGAAGTGGCACCCCAGGGGGGAGCTGCACCCCGGGGGGGAGCTGTACAATGGTGGGGAGCTGCACCCCGGGGGGAAGCAGCACCCCGGGGGGGAGCTGCCCCAGGGCCCCCATGGGCCCTGGCACCCCCTGCCAGACGCTGGCCTGTGGCAGCTGGGAGGTGACGGGGTGGAGCTGGGCGGGCTGGGAGGACACCGGCAGCCCTGGGACGGAGAGCAGCGTGCCGGCAGGGACCGGTGGCGGCATGGCCGGAACACTGAAGCTCTGCAACCCTGTCTGCCGGGGGGGTTGGAACGTGCCCCATTATGGCATCACCTCCTAACGACATCACACACGCAGGGGCCGGGACCGGGACCAGCTGTGAGCCCCTCCACGGGCAATGGGGTCCTGGTCCCCCCGGCCCCCTCGCTCCATGGCCGCCCTCAGCCTTCGCTCAGCCACAGCCCAGGTGACACCCACCCTGTGCCTGCACCCTGCTGGGGGCTGCTCTGGGCAAAACCAGCCCTGGGATGCCCCCGCAGCTCATTAATATTATTTAGCCTGGATAGGGAGCTCCCCGGGGGGAGGCCCCAGCTGCCCTTGCAGCAGCCCACGCAGGAGGAAGCTGAGGCCCAGGCTCGCTCATGCCAGTGAGGAGGCCACAAATCCTCTGTCACTGCCGTGCCTGCGGCCAGTTTGGAGGGGGGGAAGGTGCTGCCTGGGGCCGAGGAGAGGGGACCCCCAGGGGGGACGGGGGGCCCCGTCCTGACTCCTCACTGGCTTCACTCCCGGGCAAGTGCTTCTCCTCTGCGCCAGGACGGAGAGCACAGCGGGGGCTGGAGAGCGTCCCCAGGAGCTGCATGGGCTCGGGGGGCATCCCTGAAGTGGGGTCTGTGGGAGCTGTTCGTGTTACATTGTGAAATTTTAGTCTATGTTTTTGAACAACTGAAGACATAACAGGCACTGGTTCGAGGGTCTTTCTGAGAATGTTTTACTAGTGTAGGCTTAACTGCTGCCTGTGGCATGATAGAATTCAATAGACCGGAAAAGGAAAAAGACAGGAGTTCCCCATTCCTTGTGGAAAGCCTGCACTTCAGTATTAGTTCTCAATAAACCCTGCAGTCCATTACTGACCTGCGGCCTGGGGACTTCATTCCTGCGAGCTGCTCCCACAGGTGGCTGGGAGGGAGGAGTGTGGTCGCAGTGGAGAAGAAAACCACAGGACTGTGCTCTGAATCCATGTTTTCATCATCATTAAAAATTGGGTTTGGTCTGACAACAGGGAGAATAGTATTAAAATCTCACCCTTCCCAAACTAATTTGGATACTATGTCCTGTGGTTTCAGATAATACAAGTAACCAGTTTTCTCAGTTTTTATCGTCCACTTTGTCATGGTAAAAACTTTTGTTTCACTAATTTGAGCAGTTTGGTTTTTTTCTAGACAAAGTAGTGGGTTACATTTACGGCTGATGGTTCAGATTGGTGTTTTTCTCTGGGTTTTGTGGGGTGTGGTGAGTTTGGCATTTTTCAGCTCCTTGACAGGAGGGGCAGAGTTCATGTTTCAGGGCTCATATGCCCGTGCTCCATTTTGACAGACAACTATACTTTGTTCGCAAAAGCATAACCATGTGCATTTATACGCGATTAGACATTAACTGATTACTTTGCAAACTACACTGAAAAGAAGCTTCCTGTAGTGATGCTTCCCTCTCAGATAAGCATAACTTTTTAAAAATTCCCTGTTAGCCGAAAACTGACAGCTTCCCCCTTCAACTTTTAAGCACTTGTGAGCATCTGACAAGGGTCCCTCTCTGAGATATTCTGGAGCAGTAAGTGGATCTCAAGGAGGTTCGGTTGTTTTAGTTCCTTCTCATTAGCCACATAGGCACTCTTAAGCTGTCATAGGTTTGGTTTTTGTTTTGAACAAATACCATTACACTAGGTTGGAAATGCCTTTTTCAGTGACACTCGGAGGATATAGTGCAGACTTTCAGGATACAGTAGAGGTTAACTATTGCTATATTTTGATGGTAGAACTTGAATATGTGCTTGATTTTTTGCGAACAGATTGATGAGTCTTCTGCATCAATTTCTCTGGCGCAGCTTATTAAGGTATATTCTTGTCAAATACTTAAAAAATAACAAGTGTTTGCTTTGTATTTTTAAATCTTATACTGTGATCTGTAGCTGGGTAACTGTTTTAATGTGAACAAAACTTAATTTTTAATAATTTACAGTACTTGTTTTAACTTTAAAATATGTGTGTGTATATTTTGTTACTGTCTTGTAAAGATTAGTTCCCAGTTTGGGAAGATAGAAGGGGAGTAACTTCTCAGCCACAACGTACTGTTGCAGTATTACTCACCTTCAGAACACAACACTTCAGAAGCTGTTTTGCTGTTTCTCAGATTTTTCCGTAATTTTGCACTGGAAGCTAACAGAATTTTCACAGAATAATTTAATTTGCTGTAAGTTGTGAACAGCTGAAAGAGAAGCGTTCCTGTACCATGCACAACTGCATGGCTATTTTCTAATTTCTAGTCACTGTATAGATCCATTTGTGGAACGCTGCACAGTTTCATGTAGACAGTGGACAACACAATCTGATTTGTTTGAATGCAGGCTGTGGAAATTGTGTAAATGTACCTAATGGTTTGTAGGAACATACCACGTGTACGTGTGGCATATTCGCAGATGTGACTTTCCGAAGCTGTTGTAAAGCCATGTTTTGCTATGGAACTGCTTGCATTATTTGCTCAACGCTGTGTAACTTTGTCTGGGAAAGCACTAGTGATTGCACTGTGTGAAAAGGAGGAGTGCTAGCCAGGGAAAATACTAGTCTTTAAAGTGACAAGGATTAGAGAAGGTAGGGCCCAGTGCAGAGGAGCTAGTTCTTTCTTCTGAAAATAAAGGCTGGAGTTCATTACCAAGAAAGAGAAATCTCCTCTCCCTCCCAATGCAGAATTAAATTGTGTATATTTGGGAAGACAAAAAAAAAAAAAAAAAAAAAACCAAACAAACACACCCAATTAGTTTGGAAGGTAGCCACCAAAAGAAATTGGTCTCCATTAGTGCTGTCCCTAAACGTACCCTTGGTTCTGTAAACTCATGTGAAGTTTTACTCTAAAATGTGAAATGCTGTCAAAGTGGTGTACGCATTGAAGCTTTCGAGAAAATTTAAGTGTTTCAGAAAAATGCAGGAACATGGCATAAAGCAGCTCAAAACTGTTACTTATTCTAACCTCTTCAGTGCAGACTGGTTTAGCATGGAGGCAACGTGTTGCAAAAAAGTTTTCTGCATTATTATTACTATGTATGAAATGCTTTATTTGAATTTTGGTCTATTCCTAGTAATGCTTAGTCATTTTTGGACGTGTTTTGTAAATGGTTTGGGTTCAAACAAATCAGTCGAGTATCTGTAAAGTTTTCTGTAAATGTTAATGAAAGTTATTTCATGGATGTCAACCTGGATTATGTTACGGACGAGAAAAAACTGTGTCTATGAGACGGTCATTTAATGAACCGTTGAAACTAGCTGGTTACTTTTGTGGATGAATGCATATAAAAACAGACACACCAGTGGTTGATCTGAGTGACAGGTTCCTGAAGGTCCAAATCATTTACAGTCGCTCCCTTAGGCCCTGCTTGTGTCTGCACTAGTGTGTAATAAAAACATTTGAACAAATACTACTGAAAAAAAAATCAGCTGGCTTCAACAATGTGACGATCTCGTTCTGTGTAAGGTTTCTGTTACAATTTGCATGTTAAAAAGACACAGTCAACTGGAGAAGAACTGCAGGTTGTGCTGACTGTAGTTAAATCCCTTCATATGAAGAAGTTAGTAGGCAGGGGACGTGCCGTTTGGCTGCCGACAGCACGTGACGGTCAAATTTCTACCGAAAAGAATTTTTCCTGAGGCATTATAAGAAGCTTGATTCCTTTTAAAGCTTCTGTGTCTGAAGCCAAATTTCAGCAAGCAACATCTTCCCCAACTCTTAAGTTGTGTGTCCCTTTAATGCTGGAAAATGTAAATAATGATACTTGCATAGAACTCTCTCAACTAAATGTACAGTGAAGACCTTCCCCTTCAAATAGTCTGGAGCTTGAGAATCAGTTTAAAACTACTGGATAATAATTTTTTTTCTACACATAACTTCAATCCACTTGGAAGAAAACTGGACTGGTTACGCAAGACTTTATGTAAGGTACAAACAGAGCCTAAGGTTTTGAGTGCCCAAGAATGCTCTTTTCAAGTAGGTTAAGAGGCACATAAACACCCCGTCATGGCGTAAGGACTCCCCAGAACACCTTCAGGAGAACTATATTTTATATAAGCAGCTGTTTTCATGCAACCTCAGCTAGGGTGGTGCTGCTCTTTACAGGATTAGGTGAGTGGTGTTGTCTTCAGCTGTGTGGGCTTAGATGTGTTTCTCATGTGTGTGTCAAATAACTGCCTGTTAAACAGACAGCCAATCTGGCTGAAGCCAACGCTTCCGAAGAAGACAAGATAAAAGCTATGATGATACAGTCTTGCCGACAGTATGATCCAATCAAGTAAGTTTTGACAGTGTCACATCTGTTCTCTAAAGGCTATGGAAAAATTGTAGAGAATGTTTGTTTGAACAAGAGTGACACATGCATACCTTTTTCTTTTTTTTCCCCAAAAAATTTTAGTTACATGAAGAAATCCTTGGGTCTACCTCCACCATCATATACTTGTTTTCGTTGCGGAAATCCTGGCCACTATATAAAGAACTGCCCAACAAATGGGGTAAGATTGTGGGGGACTTCTGGTGTTACTTAGTTTTTAATTGTTTTACCTTGGCAGTTATGGGACAAATACATGAATATCCATCTTGACAACTGTTCCTCTTGGGGTGTAATACAGAGGTTATATGGCAATGGTGCAAAGCCCTTCAAAATCCAAGGGAAAGATGGAATTCTCAACATGAAATTTTCTTTTTTTCTACGTCATAGACATTACATGTGCCCACAGATCTTCCGCTGTGAACTTGAATGCATATCTTTATATATTTCAATATTGCTAGAATTTTTCTGTTAGAAAGTTCAAAACACTGCTCAAGCCTTTGGAGCATCCTGGCTATATTCATCGAGCAACCCTTAGGCTAAGTTAAAGGGGAGGATTAGAGGCTTTTGCTGCTCAAAATAATCAATGAAATGTCATTGTAAGTGTGGGTCTTAAGATGAGATATGTCCGTATCTCTTTTCTTATCAGGACAAAAAATTTGAGTCTGTTCCCAGAATT